TTACAACTGGACCTTTTCTCAGAGATCTAATATAATTTTAAAAAATTGAGATTTCAAAAAAATGTAAATTTGTTTTTAATAAAGTTTCTGTTATTAGAAGAACTTAAGGTATACTAAGGGCACAAAAATTTCAAATACATTTGATTCTAAGCACTTTACAAATGATAGAAAATCTTTAGCTTTAATACATCAATATAAACCTTATTTATTCATAAAAAATAACATTTTTGATGAATGTAATTAATTACAGTAATTAACAGTAGTTGTAGGCAAATGTATTTTTTGTGATCTGAGTATAAATAATAATGGAATCATTTAGTATATCCAGTTTTAACATTTTGTGATTTTATCATGCACTGCAATTATCTCTGAGGCTTAAGGTGAAAAATGTTTTTCTCTTAAATTTCATTCAGAAATTGGACTCAGAAAAATTAAAAAGCAATGGTTGATAGGACTCTGACAAAAAGTAAGTAGGAATTTAGAGAGCAGTGATTCTTAATCCTTTTATGTCATGGATCACTTGAATAACATATGTCCATTCAACACATACATAGCGAGTGCTGCAGCCTACCTGATCTGGGGCTGGCTTCTTGGGTCTGCAGCCCTGGCAGTCACATGTGTTTGGACGTACCACACACATGGATTAATGCTCTGCTATTGCTATCTCAAAATTCTTAATAATTTTTGAACAAGGGATTCCACATTTTCATTTTGCACTAGACTCAGCAAATTTTGTAGCTGGTCTTACCTGGCCCTGTGTTCTGCATGAGCTCTGAACGTAGATACTCCTGGTCTACATGAGGAGAGATATAATAAAGAGGTAGACAAATGAATCTATAATTAAAAATTATAGTGGTTTGCATGAAAGAAAAAAATAGGGACATTGTTCTTTAGTCTGTTTGTCCTGCTATAACAAAATTCCTGAGACCCAGTAATCTATGAACAATAAAAATTTATTTCTTACAATTCTGGAGACTGAGAAGTCCAAGAACAAGGCACCAACATCTGGTGAAGGCTGTCCTCTGCTTAACAAGATAGTGCCTTGTTGCTGCATCCTTTGGAGAGAAAGAATACTGTGCCCTCACATGACAAAAGGAATGGGAAAAAGGAACCCACACCTCCATAGTTTTTATATGGGCACAACTTACATCCATGAAGGCTCTGCCCTTCTGACTTAATCATCTCCTATAGGCCCTACATCTTAATACCATCATATTGCTGATTAGGTTTAAACACATGAATTTTAGGAGACATTCATATTACAGGTATTGATCAACTTACCACCTATGCAACTTACGACCATTCGACTTTACGACCACAATCGCTAGCCACAACTGCTCCGCGTCTGGCAGCGCAAACGTTGCCCAGCTGGGCGTACAACAGTGCGGCCAGCTTCCGGCAGCACTACCATCTCCGTGTGCACCATTTCAACTGTACATATAGCCTACTCAACTTACGACCAAATCGTGTTATGACCGAGTCGAGTACTAGCTGTATAGCAGTTATGAAGACTAAAGAGAAAAATATGTTAATTTATTTAAATTGTTTACTCTAAAATGACCTATCTAGAACACTGAAATTTTAGCTAATACTTGAAGGATGAGCAGGAGCTGATCCTGCGGTAATTCAGGGAAAGAGCCTTCCATGCTTAGGAAATACTTGAGCCGATGTTTTAAGGCAGGTGTGGTAGCCTTGCACACCAAACTTCATCCAAGAGTGGTTCAAGAGTCCAAGCTGTAAAGTATAGTTGTGGAGCTAGCTTACTTATTAACTAGCAGTCAAAAAGGATTTCATCACTTGTGGCAGGTGAAACACAGACAGCAGCTGGCAAACGGCAGCACTCTAATCATTAAAATCCTCACCTGTGGTGAACTAAGACATTTCATTTGCAGAAGAGAATGTACTTGATGGAGTAATGCAGGAGGCATTTGAGATGTATGAAGGAAAAATAGGATTGGGTAATTACAACAGTAACTAAGGGCCATTGATCTTTTACAAAATAATAACAAATAACAGGATAAAAAAAAAAAGAAGCCAGAATTAAAAGCTAGAGGCCCTCTTTGTTTATATACATTAAAAATGCTCATCTTTTTTCCTGAGGAGGCAAAGAAAGCTGAGGACTCAGCCCGGGACTTTTTAATAAGTGTTATTGAATTTCAAGGCAGTTAAACAATCAAAAGAGGCCTTTTATGCCAAGGACAGGAGCCTAGTTGGAAGAGCTAGAAGCTTAACGCTTAAGACATAGGCCTCTGTCAGATGACCCCACATATTTTGCCTCTCCACATTCCTCTGATCATGGAGATATGATACAACCCTTCTGATTAAAAGCTGACACACTCTCTCCAAAACTGGAAGACAAGATTTCTCCCCTTGAGATCTCCCAAATGTTTCTCTCACATAAGTCAATATGGATCATTCTCAAAACTCATCCCAACTCTCCTAAAGGCCCAGGTTTATGTTTTAACATAGTCAAACTGGGGCATGCATTGCCAGAGAAAAGGAACTATACCCAAATAAGCTACAAGGTCTAGCTGACATGTACCAGCTGAGCCAGGAGAGTATGCATGAGACTGGATGCTAAAGTTTCTTAATCAAAGGGCAGGATTATAAAATGAAGGAGGACTCCAGAATTGGATACCAATTTATTTCCTAGAAGCATGTGAAAAGTGAGAGTCAAAACTGAGGAAAGATAAAATGCAGAATTTTCATGACATGTAATGGAAAATAACTCTTAAATGATATTTTTCACTGGAAGACCTAAGGGGCCCATGACGTACCAAGACCATAAGGAATGTGCTAGTGAGGGGGGGATCAGCGTTAATAAATAGTTCAGTGGTACAGATCCGCCAAAGGTCAGAGCTGATGGTAGAAAAAGCTGTTGTGGAAGTAGGTTTACTAATATCAGTGGGGATGATAGGACATCTAAAGAGTAGAGGTCAAATAGCATTGCTTAAAAGCCAAAAGCCAAGGGTCACATTCTTAGTAATGATGATAAATGACTGGAAAGGTTAGAGTGGAAACCACAAGGACTTGACCTACTGAGAGATATGGAGATAGTTAATAGAATATGTCAGCCCCAAGGGTAAAATGTGTGGATCAACAATAATACCACTACTTACTTTTACCAGCAGAAGAAATTAATGGCAGATGACTGAAGTAGAGGTTTCAATAAAACCTTTCAGTTTTCAAAACCAAAACCAACTGAAAGACGTGGTCAGGTCCTGAAGAGAAAGAACCTTGCAACACAAAAGAGAGTAAATAATGTAGTGAATCCCCAAGGGGATTTTGGCTAATTGCTCAATTACTGTACACCGGCAAAAGAGGAATACCCAATTATTTCAAGTGTCTGAATTGACATGGATATCAAGGGACCTAAAGTACAAAAATTGTTTTCTTAGTAGATTTGAGAAATTGAGGACCCTAGATGACACATGAAGTCAGGGCTAAGGTCTGATTTACCAAGGCTGCTGTGTTCACAGAGTCCGGTGCTCATTACCTGTCAGTGAATAAGTGAAATTGACATACTTGATTGTTGGCACACACCTCACATTGGATACATGATCTGTGGGGAAGATATTATACTATGACAAGTTAAGAAGTCTATGAAACTACCAACTATTCTTCCTAAAAATATAAATTTAAAATTACCTTTTTTTTTTTTTTTTTCAGGAAGATGGGGGAAATTGATGCCACCCTTAAAGACCTGAGGTTCTGGAAAGGTAGACCTCATCATTTTTGTTTAATTCATTTGGCTAACCCTTGCAAAAATTTAACGGCCAAATCCTGTAGATGATTGTAGACTATTGCAATCTCATAAGTGATAACTACAAAGGCAAACTTGGGACCGGATGAAACATCTGTGCTAGTGAAGATGAATGCAGTCTCAGGTATATGATGTATGATTATTGACTTGTGAATGCTTTCTTTTCTATCTCATTCAGAATAAAGAACCAGAAACAGTTTGCATTCACAAAGAAGAGAAAACAGTTCACAATTACAGTTTTGCTTTGGGCCACCTTCTGACTTAATATAGACCAAAGAGATCTAGATTACCTACCTGGACTTCCTACGGATAGTCAGGATGATCCATTTTGTTGATAATAGTATTTTGATTGGGCCTGATGAGGAAGAAGAAGCTGGTATATTGGAACTGTTATAATTCACATATATTCCAAAGGGTAGGAAATAAAATCTATGCATATTCTGTGGCATACCACATCAGTAAAACCATTAGGGGTGTGGGGTGTCAGAAGCTTACTGGGATTTTCTCTTCAAACTAAAAGATAAATAGCTGAATCTTGCACATCCAACCAGGAAGAGAAAACAGTGCCCTTAGTGATCCTTTTTGGGTTCTGGATATGGCATATTTCATACCTCGGGATATTATTCCAGTACATAACATGGATAACTTGAAAGTTAATAGCTTTGAATGGGAACCAAAGCAGAAAGTATCTCTATAGCAGCTTCAGGCTACAGTGCAATTAGTCCTGTGGCTAGGGCCTAAGATACAGTAGACCTTATGTTGTTGAAGGTATCTGTGGTAGAAAAAGGTATCCATAGAACATTTGTAAAAAACCCCAATGAGAGAATTAGAATGGCTATTGTCATTCTGGATGAGGCCATGACATCTACAGCAGAAAATTACATACCTTTTGAAAAATAGCTCCCGGCATGCAACTGAGCTCTAGTAGCAATGGAAGTCAGAACATGGATACTGACTGATATGGTTTGGCCGTGTCCCCACTCAAATCTCATCTTGAATTGTTGCTCCCAAATTCCCTATGTATTGTTGAGCGGGGGAGCCAGTAGGAGGTAATTTAATCATGGGGTAGTTATACCCATGAGGCTGTTTTCCTAATAGTGAGTGAGCTCTCATGAGAGCTGATACTTTTACAAGGGGCTTTCCCCACCCCTGTTGCTCAGCACTTTTCCTTACTGCTGCCTTGTGAAGAAGGATATGTTTGCTTCCCCATCTAACATGATTATAAGTGTCCTGAGGCTTCTCCAGCCATGCTGAGCCGTGACTCAATTAAACCTCTTTCCTTTATAAATTATCCAGTCTCAGGCATGTCTCTATTAGCAGAATAAGAATAGACTAATATACCAAGTGACAATGAATTGAGAGCTGCTTTCCACGCATTGGGTCCTGTCAGATGACCAAGACATAATCAGGGAGACACAGCAACAATTGAGTTTAAGATAGAAGTAGAATATTCAGTATTGAATATAAACATAGCTAGAACACGCAGACAAACTGCCTAAGCAAGAAACCTGAGCCTGGTGTAGTTGATCATGCCTGTAATCCCAGGTACTCAGGAGGTTGAAGTGAGAGGGTCATTTGATACCAGGAGTTTGAGAACAGTCTGGGCAACATAGCAAGGTTTTGTCTCTAAAATAATAATAACAATAAAAGAATGCTCCACCATTGTTGCACTGCCTCTGCGTCAGTTCAGGCCTGAGACTATACAGAGCCCCTCTACCACCAGCTGTAAAAGGATGAAAAGTCCAAGCTAGTTATATGGATGGATTGACTTCGCATGGGGGTATAAATAAAAAATGGACAGCAGCTGCACTACAGCTTTGTCTTGAAGGACAATGGCAAAGGAAAACCTCCACAACAGGTCAAGCTTTGAGTGTTACCCTCATGTACTGAATAGAGAAGTAGTCCAAGGTTAGAATATGTATGGCAAGCTGATTATTGCTTTAGTTCACTCCATTTTATAAAATGTAAATACAACTTTAAAATAGTATTAATTCTTTAATATTCAGGCATATTCACCATTTTATGTTAAGAAAAAATCAAATTTACTCTGTACGTTTAGAATTAAAGATTGCATAATATATAAGTAAAATGATCTCGCACAATTTAAAAAGAAAATAATTAAAAATTCTGAATTTATGAACTCTCTCTGGATTAAATAAACTCTGAATATGATTGATTTGGCAGGGAGGGAAATCTAGATACAAGCATACTTTGCTAGTTACTCCAGATTAATTAACATTATCTCTTTGGTTTTTTTTAGGCATCCAAGTATGTTATTTTAGTTTTGAAAGTCACTAAGTAAAATTATCCAAAAGTAAAACAATCTTCCAAATCCACTGACCATAAAGATTAAAATGATAATATCTCTTTAATACATAAATAACTCCAGAATTGAAACAATGTTTGAATAGTAAAGGACTTAAACTCCTGTTTTATATAAAACTGTGTTCTGAAATAGGCATGGGCAAAGATATCATGACAAAGACACCAAAAGCAATTGCAACAAAATCAAAAATTGACAAATAGAATCTTATTAAACTAAAGAGTTACTGCATGGCAAAAGAAACTATCAACAGACTTAACAGGCAACCTACAGAATGGGAGAAAATTTTTGCAAACTATGCATCTGACAGGGGTCTAATATCTAGCATCTATAAAGGAACTTAAACAAATTTACAAGAAACAAACCCGTTAAAAAGTGAGCAAAAGATATAAATAGACAATTTTCAAAAGAAGACATATGTGTGGCCAAAAACCATATGAAGAAAGCTGAACATCACTGATCATTAGAGAAATGCAAATCAAAACCACAATGATATACATTCTCACACCAGTCAGAAGGACTATTTTTAAAAAGTTAAAATCAACACATGCTGGCGAGGTTGTAGAGAAAAAGGAATGTTTTTACACTATTGGTGGGAGTGTAAATTAGTTCAGCCATTGTGGAAGACAGTATGGCAATTCTTCAAAGACTTAAGATGGAAATACCATTCTACTCAGCAATCCTATTACTGGGTATATACCCAAATGAATATAAATCATTCTATTATAAAGACACATGCACACATCTGTTCATTGCAGCACTATTCACAATAGCAAAGACATGGAATCAACCTAAATGCGCACATCAATGATTGGCTGGATAAAGAAAATGTGCTACATATATACCACGGAATACTATGTAGCCATAATAAAGAATGAGATTATATCCTTTGCAGGGACATGGTTGGGAGTGGAGGCCATTATGCTTAGCAAACTAACACAGGAAAGAAATTCAAATACCTCATGTTCTCACTTATAAGTGGGAACTAAATGATGAGAACACATGAACTCATAGAGGGGAACAATGCACTCTGGGGCCTACTGGAGGATGGAGGATGGGAAGAGGGAGAGGATAAGGGAAAATAACTAATGGGTACTAGGATTAATGCCTGGGTGTTGGAATAATCTGTACAACAAACCTCCAAGACACATTTAGCTATGTAACAAATCTGCACATTCTGCACCTGTGCCACAGAACTTAAAAGTTTAAAAAACACCTATATTCTGACCAATAATTTTAGGAAAAGATCACTTTCTTATATACAGATGATATAAAATAATGAAGTTTTCTCACTACACAATTCCTTGAAGTATATGTATATTGAATATATGTGATAGAATGGACTTGCTTTTTCAGTAGTGTCTTTGTATACCATTGGCACAGTGTTACTTGGATTATGATAGAAAATAAATCCTGCCCCAGGAAACATATTACATAGAGAAAAAGCAAGCCAATTAAATTGTGTTATTATTCATGTTAATTTTAATCACAGATACAGTTATAATGACATTTGTTGTTTCTATTATATCCCTGAGGTCATTAGGTGTTTTTTGTTGTCGTTGTTACTTAGATTGTTACTTAGATGTAGCTCATCTCCCCAGGTTGACTATAACTTCTTTAAAAACAGTGGCCAGCTTTTCTATATTTATTATCAACTGCTCACACTTTGAAATCATGACTTCATTTAATACTTATCAATATCCTTAAAATATATACTATTATTGTCTCCATTTATACATGAATAAGCTGATTCTACTTTCAAGAGGCTAGTACCTTGCACAGGCTTTCAAGTAGCTGAATGGAGACTTAGACCCAGATCTGATTCCAAAGTCAATATTATTTTCCCTTTATACTACAATAATTTTTGCATCCTCAAAATTGACAATGAATCATAGAAAATTAGAGCAGTATACATTTTTTTCTTGCTAGTGTTAGGAAACTTCTTGGTCTAAAAATATAACTATAAAGTCCAAAGTTTTCTTCCTTCCTTCCTTCCTTCCTTCCTTCTTTCCTTCCTTCCTTCCTTCCTTCCTTCCTTCCTTCCTTCCTTCCTTCCTTCCTTCCTTCCTTCCTTCCTTCCTTCCCTTCTTTCTTTCCTTTCTTCCTTCCTCCCTTCCTTCCTTTCTTCCTTCCAACATTTGAGCTTCTATTTCTGCTGAATACTGTGTTATGTTGGAATTTTTTTTTCCTTTATAAATCCATTTAGGATTCAAACACAAATTACAACATGTGGATTTAAATTACTGTGCATTATGTCATAGTTTAAAACATATGGCTATCTTGTGTAGAGGTTGGACTGTCATCTTAATTAGATATCCAAATTTAGTAATTTGCAATAGCAGAATTGCTTCAGTTTGTGCAGTTACTGTTCACAGACATTTTTTAAACAATTATAGTAAAATATCATAGAATTTTAAATAATTTAATGATAAGAAAAACATCAGAGTTCCCATGAGTGTTGCTCATTATTAGTATTTTTCTTTGAATACATAGTAACACCAGCTATAATATATTGTGTGCTCACTATATGCCATGGAGTTAGCACTTTGTTATTCATGTTCTACAAATTAGGAAACTGAGAGTTAAAAGAGTTCAGATATAAACACTACACAGCTGTAAAATAGTTGCTGTGACTTCAATTGAGACTTAAAACATGGTTGTCTTTATCAGAGCCAGTGACCTTACCCACTGATACGGTTTGGTTCTGTGTCCCCATCCAAATCTCATGTCAAATTGTAATCTGCTCATGTTGAAGGAGGGGCCTGATGGGAGATGATTGAATCATAGGGGCAGACTCCCCCTTACTATTCTTGTGATGGGGTTCTCTTGAGATATGGTGGTTTAAAAGTGTGCAGTACTTCCTCCTTACCATAGTAAGACATGCTTGTTTCCCTTTCACCTTCTGCCATGATTGTAAGTTTCCTAAGGCTTCCCACAGCCATGCTTCCTATACAGCCTGTGAAACTGTGAGTCAATTAAACCTCCTTTCTTCATAAATTACCCAGTCTTAGGTAGTTCTTTACAGCAATATGAGAACAGAAAAATACTGAAAATTGGTACCCAAATTAGGGTATTGCTATAAAGTACCAGAAATATGGAAGTGACTTTGAAACTGGGTGATGAGCATATGTCAGAACAGTTTGGAGGGATCAAAAGACGATAGGAAGATATGGGAAAGTTTGGAACTTCCTGGAGACTTGTTGAATGGATGTGACCAAAATGCTGATAGTGATATGGACAGTGAAGTCCAGGCTGAGGTGGTCTCAGATGAAGACAATGAATTTATTGGGAACTGGAGTAAAGGTCACTTTTGCTATGATTTAGCAAAAAGACTGGTGGCATTTTGACCATGCTCTAGAGGTCTTCAGGGAGATGATTTAGGGTATCTTATGGAAGAAATATCTAAGCAGCAAAGCATTTAAAAGTGGTCTGGCTGCTTCTACATGCCTATGCTCATTTGCATAAGCAAAGAAAATTTATATTTAAAAGGGAAGTGAAGCATAAAAGTTTGGAAAAATGGCATCCTGACCATGTGGTAAAAAACCCATTTTCTGGGGAGAAATTAAAGCCTGCTGCAGAAATTTGCATAAGTAAAGACAGACTGAATGTTAGCCAAAACAATGAGGAAAATCCATTCAGGGCATTTCGGAGACCTTTTTAGCACCCCATTTTATCACAAGACTGGAGGCCTAGGAGGGAAAAATGATTTCATGGGCCAGGTCCAGAACCCCACTGCTCTGTGCAGCCTTGGAACATGGTGCTCTGCATCCCAGCTGCCCCAACTCCAGCCATGGCTAAAAGGGGCAAAGGTACAGTTTGGGCCATTGCTTCAGAGGGTGCAAGCCCCAACCTTGGCAGCTTCCATGTAGTTTTAGGCCAGTGGATGCACAGGAGGCAAGAGTTGAATGTTTGGAAACTCCACCTGGATTTCAGAGGATGTACAGAAATGCATAATGTCCAGACAGAAGTCTACTGCAGGAAAGGAGCCCTCATGAATGGCCTCTGTGAGGTCAATACAAAGGGGAAATGTGGGGTTGAAACCCCCATAAGAGTCCCCACTGGGGCACTGTCTAGTGGAGCTGTGGGAAGAGGGCCACCATCCTCCAGAGCCCAGAATGATAGATTCACTGATATCTTGAACTGTACATCTGGAAAAGCTGCAGGCACTCAATGCCAGCTGTTGAAAGCAGCTGTAGGGTCTGTACCCTGCAGAGCCATAGGGGCAATAAGGCCCAAGCCCTTTGGAGCCCATTTTTGCATCAGTGTGATTTGGATGTAAGATATGGAGTCAAAGAAGATTATTTTAGATTTTTAATATTTATATAATATGGTTAGAAAAATTTTTCAAAAGTTACATCAAAGACTTAATTATTTAAATAATTAAATGAATTAAAGGTTTACAAAACTATAATGTCAAAACAGATGATAAAACTCTGGTGGTAGACTTAATACTCTCTCATTATACTTGGAAATTTGTAATTAGAACAAAGACTAACCATATTGGTCATAAGTGCACCTTCAAAAGACTCACAATATAACTAGATTATTTTTTGTTCTAATGACAGACATTGAAAGGCTTTATTGTGGAATTCTGATGAGTTTTATAAACTGTTATAAATTATTCTGTCTTTCTTTTCAGGGTCTTAGTCTTGTTTTAGAAGAGAATGAGACTTATCTTCAGATTAAACCCAAGAATGCTGTGTTTAATTTCCTAGAAAGGCAGAGTCCTGTGTCTTGGTGCTCACTGTAAAAGAAAATAGGGAGAAGATCAAATGGCTATTAATTAGCACCATCATTTCCATTTAAATTGGTGTTGGGGCTCTGATTATCCACTAGATGTTAAAAGTGGTTGAGGGGTTACAATGGCTTACCTCTTGAAAATAATGTTATAAAGAAAATTGAACTACATACAAGCTACATCACTTGACACTTTCAAAGAAGATAGGTAGTTTTACAACGATCTTTACAAGTGTCTCTGAACTTAGATTTTTTGCAACTGTTTGCAAAAGTTGGTAACTTCAGAGTTTCCAGATGCAGTGAGTGATTTCATACAGAAACTTGCAAGGCAATGAGGAATTCTGAGTCCTTGGACCATATACAACAAGATAGTCAAGTCTGTAGTATGCCATCTTCTTTGGCAATTCTGGGGATTCAAAACTATTTTGACTTACCTCTGCAAAGAATAGTCAAAAGGGAGAGTATTCTTGATGCTAATAGGCTTCCCAATTTTACTAGAACCTCTTATACAAGATACAAAAGGCACAGCTTGGTAATGACTATTTGTAATATATTGTAATGTCTGAAAATGGATTTATCTCACCTAAACTGAGCCTGAGAGATTTCTAAATATGAATCGTAGCCGAACATTCACAATGATATCACAAAACTGTAAGAAAACCTTGTATATAATGAGGGTTATTGCTACAAGAAACAACTGATTGCAACAATAAAACAGTTTCCTTTAATGCCTATTTTGTTCTGAAGTTAATTCCAGTCTCTATGAATAAATATTATTCACATTTATTTTGGAAATATTATTTTTTGAATATCTTAAAGCTAATGATTTTGAATGTCCTTTAAAAATAAATTCATGAAACTTTCACTTCTGAAAAAAATCATGTATGTCCGCATCATCTGTTCTTCTGTTAGAAGCAAAAGGCCAAGTTGAGTAAAAAAATAACCTTTGAAAAACAATAAATTCTACGTTATTTCATAATCAGAGTTTTCTCAACCCATCAGCCACAACTCTATGAAAATATTTGTCACATATTGAAATACTCACTGGATGTCATTGATTTTAAGACAAACCAGCACTTTTCAATATTGCTGTGGTAACAGATGCTATATATCTAACAATATAGAGACTGAGAGACTTTGGTATAATTGCAGAGTTAAAAAATGAAAGTGTTAATATGGACATTTACATGTGTTTAAGACATAAATATATTGCTTTTAAGTATATAAACAAATTAGCTTTCTTTAAAATTTTCTTTTAAAATTCTATTCAAAAAAAATTATCTTAAAACTTATCGTGGCACATATATTTAATTATTTGTTTGTGCTGAAATTTTCATGCAGATTTATAATTCATCAGAAGAAATTTGGCATCATATTATAGGCCTTTAACTGACTCCTGACTCTCATTTTGTATAAAAAATTTTCTCCTGAACAGAAGATAATTTTTCTTGTAATCCTCTGTGTGCAATGCCACCTTAGAGGAATGTATAAGCTATTGCAGCTTATACATGTTTTATATTTTTTGTACAAAAATAAACAAAATGTATAGAAAATGTGAAAACAAAGTCATAACCACAGTTATCTGCCATCTAAGAAACAGTGACAGCTAAAGGGTGTTTGCTCGTTCCTGATATCCAAGTACATTTATTTAAGTATATTTCCCAGCTATGAATCAAATAGCCCCTCACAAACATTTAAATAGGGAGAAAGAAGGCATAGAAAATGTTTCTTTTTGCTAGTACCCTAGCAGGGTGAAAAATTCAATAGCTTTTCTTGAAATAGCTTTTCTTTCATAATTCCTGAATTTTAGTATACTTATGATTTTTATTTTATTTTATTTTATTTTATTTTATTTTAGACAGGGTCTTGCTCTGTCACCCAGGTGCAGTGGTGCAATCTTGGTTCACTGCAACCTCTGCATCCTGGGCTCCAGTGATCCAGCTCAACCTCCTGAGTAGCTGGGACCATAGGCGTACATCACCACACCAGGCCATTTTTTGTATTTTTCATGGAGACAGGGTCATGCCATGATGTCCAGGCTGTTCTCGAACTCCTGGGCTCAAGCAATCCTCCTGCCTCAGCCTCCCAAAATGCTGGGATTGATTAGAGGTGTGAGCCACGACACCTGGCTTATTTTTAAATTGAATTATTTATGAACTGTTAGATATAGGAAAAATCAAGCTGTTTTTCTACTATTGTACTCATCATTCAATACATAATACTTTACTGCTTGTAACCAAAATATATGTGAGATGTTTCCCTACACATCATGCAATTCTACAGGGGGCAACACCTGGGTATGCTACAATTCAGTTCACTTCTGCAACTACCTGTCTGGAGTTGGAATCAGATCACTCAAGGGCTCAGTCCCACAAGATTACCCTCACAAGACGTCCATTGCAAATCTCAGGTTTATAACTTGTACCTCTGACTAAAAATGTGCATATTTTAGAGATAGGAAGAGGTACATTTCTAATTGCCATTTATTTACTTATGCCTATTTGCAATAAATTGATCCCAAAACACTACCGTCTTCACATTTAATATCAAGGTGTTCTGGTTATCTATTTTTATATAATAAACTATCCCAAACTTAGAAGCTTAAATGACAATTTCCCACCTAATGAAAGGGTGATGCTGAAGTGTCGGACAATGAAATCCCTGTTATTTGACCACACCACTTTCTAAAATGAGAAAACTATGTTTGTATATTACAAATCTGTCAAATAGAGAATGCTGAATGGTTTACTTGATGCATCTGTCATTCTGAAATAAGAATATTAAGTTTTTGATAATCAGAGTAAGTGGTAGAATTAGTCCTTTTTTATCCTTCTTTGGGAAATGTGAGGTTATCAAAGATACATGAAAAGCATGTAAGTCTTAATTCATATATGTGTTGTGAAGGGTAGAAAAATTTGGAAGCTTTTTCTAATGCCTCTTAATCCTTGGATTTGGACCCATCTGAAAGAAAGTTATAAGCTCCACAGTTGAACAGCATGGAATGCACCAGAAGAAATGTAACAGTTCACTCACCATGACCCTAGGATAATTACATGGTTAGTAGCTTGCTCAGAGATGAGAATAGTGAACGCTGTGAAACTTTACAGCGTTATGAAACTGTACTTTCCCAGTTCAACTCTAGAATGTTATCACCTTCACCTCTCAAAGTTTCCATTTATTTATTTATTATTTTTTAAATGGAGATAGAAATAATACTATAGCTGATGACACAGAGCATGTAAGAGAGCTTCATGCCATGGCCAGAGAAGAGCTTACACTAAGTGGTTGCAGTATTTATAGGAGTAACTAACTAGATATTCTTTAAAAGGTCTTTCTCTTAAGGAAATTCTTATGTTAACAGGCAATGAGTTGAATACCTAGCAAATACTCACCAATGTACACCAAAGAAAATAAATTAATTTTAAGAAAGTTTCTTATTAAGCTAATATTTATTGAATGACATTTTCAATGCCAAGTGGAGCACTCAGTGAATAAAACAAATATCCAGCCCTTTTTTAAATTTCCATTCAATAGGGAAGAAGATAATAAGTAATCAATAAATGAGTTATAAATGCCCAAATTCCAGGAAGGACACTGATACTCCTGAAAGCATAATAGAAGGAGGCAATTTTTACTATTTTTACTTTCTTTATTCAATGAGGAAGAAGATAATAAATGACCAATAAATTAGTCATAAATGCCCAAATTCAATGAAGGGATACGATACTCCTGAAAGAATGATAGAAGGAGGTTATTTTTCTAATCCAGATTACTCTTGATTACTAACAGTAACCAAGGAATATCTCTGAAGAGGTGATATTTAAACTGTGTCCAGTGATATGACAATTGCCTAACTAGTTAATTAAAAGCTTATAAAAGAACAGCAATTATATATACAAAGTCCCCAAAAAGAGACAAAGCTAGGATTTTCAAGAAGTAAATGAGGCCCATGTAGTTGGAAGGTGGAGAGAAGGAAACTGATATGAGATGGGACAAATGAGGATGGGCCAGGCCATATGATTTCCTATAGGCCAATATTATAAATTCAGATTTTCTCTGAAAGAAAACAGGAAGCCTTTGAAAAACTCTAATAGAGTATGCTGCCTCCAATATTTGTGTGTGTGTGTATGTGAACATTATTCTATAATTATTTAAATATTGACTTGAATGAGTAACAGAAGAAGAAGGTAGAGACAAGAAGAGGTAACTAGGGTCACCCTGGAGAAGACAGAAAGGAATGTACAGATGCAAGATATATTTTGGAGAAAGAATTGACTGATTTGATGGATTAGATGTGGGGGTTAAAATAAAAAGAATGAAATAGAAAGGATGGTAGTGCTATTTGCTCAAATACAGTTGATGAGGCTTTATGGGTAAAAGCAGACATTCTGTTTTAGGATTTCAATTTTGAGACCTTAGCCTGACATCCAAGTGAAAATTTCAAGTGCATAATGATCTGAATCTGGACTGCAAATATACATTTGGAAATCATCAAACCACAGACAGTCTCCAAAAGTACGGGATTAGGAGAGGTCCCCACAGGACAGGGTATGCAGTGGAGTAGAGAGACCTGGAATTGAGTCCCGAGAAACTGCTGTACTGGGCAGAGGGGAAAGGCTCAGAGGAGGAGTCGCCAGAGAGTTGCAAGAAAAACTAGAAGGAAATGGTGTCATGGATTCAGAGAGAGGACCGCGTTCCAACAGGACAGTATGGTAAGTCTGGCCAAAATGCTGTCAGGAGACCAAGAAACATGAGGATGAAAGAGAAACATACTGACTTTGGCAGCAGGCAAAGTAGTAGTGACACATTCAAGTAAGTCATGGAGGAATCCAGATGGACTCGCATGTGGCTCAGGCTCATCTTAGTGACCAATTAAAGATATAATCAAGATGCCAAAAGCCATTAATTAAAAGTCTTGAAATGCATTTATGTAGTAATATTAAAGGATATCCAATTAATAACCCCAAAGTAAAAAGTCCTTTAACCTCCTATATTTTCTCCTTTCTCACCCCCTCACACAAATCACATTTGCTCCTTACTTTCCATCTCCATTATTTTGTGAATTCTGATAAAGTTAAAAATCTCACATTTTTTGCTGATTTTTTTGATGGTTTTTTTTGTTTTACTTTTTCTATGCTTTAATTTTATTCTCATTTTTTGTAATAAGTAAGGGCCTGGGAAACATCCCAGCAAACAAAAATACCATAGTCTTTCAAATGATTTCTATGGCCTTATTTTTCTCTGCCTACATTTTCTACTTCCTGTCACCAAAATCTTGGGACTTAGGCTGGCAAGAGCAGACCTTTCCTTACGGGACAATGAGAGGATGGTGGAATAAAGCGCTAAGGTGCAAAGCGAAAATTAACATCAGAATGCAGAAGGTGGAAGAGAGGAAGTGAAAAAGTTGTGAATGTGTATATGTTAATAAAGGTTGTTCCTTGTCACAAGACCATCACAGGGATTTATCACTCCTAGTGACTCACCTAGCAGAAAGCACCAATGTCAAGTGTCCTCAAAGAGCCATCTTATTTGCCAAATTCAATGAGAGAGGAGAAATATATGATCTTTTTAAACTAACTAATTCCAATGGAGACCAAAAAATAGCTTGTTACAAGAACACTGGTACAGTTAAGAAAGAGGGCTATAGTTAGACAGTGTTACATAAACTCAAAAGTTAGATATAAATCCTTTAAAATATATTACCAAAGAAAAGTATCCTGAGATTTGGTTTTTGCTTTCAGGTGTACTCAAGGATGTTAAGATTCTCAGAGGCAAGGAGAAGCCACACTTTCTTGGAACGTGATCCACTGCCATAAAAATGACGTTTACTCATAGGACTCCAGGACACTAGCCTCTAAACACCTACTAATTATCAAAAATAGTAAGTGGAGTAAGTAATGCATAATTATGAATTCAAACTTATATTGTATTACATTTCCTATTTTGACACTTCATTAGAAATATCATGTTTGCCAAACCACAAATCTAAAATATTTATAGTTTGATTTCTCTCATTTTAAAAATAAGAAAATTTAGACATAAAATATTTAGTGTCTTGACTAGGAAAATAAATTTGTTAGACTGAAAACTATTGCAAAAGTTCCGGTATTCCTTAATGTAATAAAACAAAGTTTGGTGAAAAAGAAAAGCTGAAACATTGAAATTTTACATGATGATTACATTCATATAGCCTTTACAAATAATTCTATGGAAAATAGAGGAGATCTGCATTTGATATTCTTCTCCACAGTGTGAGAAAAGTAGAAAATAAAGCAGCCCTATGGGTAATCCAGATATTGAATTCAACAGTCAAACACTTGTAAATATTTATAACTAAAATATTTCATAAAATATATTTTCTAAGATATCTGCACAGGTAAGCGGCAGTGGGTTTTTAACCTTGGAGTTATTCCTGCCCCATTCATGTTCTTGTTCAATGAGAGTTCTTTCAAACTTCCACTGCAGTGATTGATCTTACTTTAATGCTGGATTGGCTGCTAGGTCGCAACTGGAGCCCCCTCTTCCCAGAGCTTCCTGCTGGCTTTTTGAACAAAGAGGCTCACCTGGAATTTCTATCTAGCCCCCTCCCACAGGAAAGTCAGACAAAAACTTTACCTCCCGGATGGGGACGTGAATGGAGACTTGGGGCTGGGAAACTCTTGCCTTTGAAACCATGCCCCTTGTGGACTCGCGTTTCCTTAACACAGTCCCTAAATATGCTGTACAAAACAGATGAAAAGATAGAATTTCAACAAAGAATGAAAATCTATAAAAAGAAATAAATAAACATCTTAGAACGGAAAAAAAACCCATAAAATTAAGAACGATGGAGGAGTTTAAAAGGAGACTACAAACGGAAGACAGGATTAGCAAATCTATTAACAGGTTGTAAGAAAATGTTTAAAGCATGAAGAAAAAGCTGGAAATATGATGAAGCTTAAGAGAAATAATATGGGGCTCAGTCAAATGATCTAAAAACATTTAATTGTAATTCCAGAAGAAGAGAAGAAGGAAAAATGGGAAAGAAACAATATTTGAAGGAATAAATGCAATAATTTTTCAAAATTGTTGTGAGACATTTCGTCAATGTGAATGTGACATTTAGTCAATATGGATCCAGAAGTTCTACAAATACCAAACAAAAAAAATTACATAGAAAGCAAGCCCTGGTATGTTATAGTCAAACTTCTAAAGTTAATTGAAAACAAAATAAATTAAAAGAGCCTAGAGAAAAAGAAAAATCAAATTCAAAGAATCAATAGTAAGAGTGACAATTGATTTTTCCACAAACAGTGTGAAAACTTAAGAAAATGGAACGTTGGTATTAAAGTGCTGAGAGAAAAGAAAATAACTAGCCTCAAAACTTAAAGCCAGCAAAAATAGCCCTAAAAATTTAGGCAAAATAACGATGTCTTCAGGCAAACAAAAGGTCAGGCAATTCCTCAACCAAAGACCTGAAGCAGAAGTATTCAAGGAAGTTGTTCAACCTGCAGGCAAATGAACACAGAAAAAACCACAAAACTTCAAGAAGGCAATTGTGAGCTGGTGAATATGAGTCATGACTAAGAAGGATGGTTAAAGAGTTAATGATTCTGCCCAGTTTGAAGATAGAAGGAAAAAAAGGTCAAGAGCCAGGAATCTAGGTTGCCTCTGAAAAAGGCAAAGAAATCGATTGTATCTTGCATACTCCCAAAAGAAATGAAGCCCAGACCACATCTTGATTTTAGCCCAGTGAGACCATGGCAGATTTCTAGCCCACAAAATTGTATGATACATGGATTTGTGGATTTTTAAAATTATTCTATGGTAATTGGTTAGAGCAGGAAATAAAAACTAATACGGAAATGCAAATTAAAATGAGATGAGATACTACACACCTACCAGAACTGCTAAAACAAAGTTTTAGCAAAAATGTGGTACTAAAATAGTTACAATGTTGGTAAGAGTATAAAAATGATACTTGTGTTATTGAAAACAGTTTGGCATTGATATCCTAAAGCTAACTAACGTATATATATATATATATAATGAGAATATATATACTCATAAAAATAAATAAATGTGCTCACAAAAAGGCACATATGTGAATGTTTGGACCAATGGTTTATAATAGCCCTAAACTGAAGACAACTTAAAGCTCATCAACAGAAGAATGATAAAGCATGGAGGTATGCTAATACAATGAAACACTATGGAAAACTAATGAACTGCTGATGTACACAATGGTATAATCACACAGATACTATCTTAAGAAAGAAATCAGACAATAATGGTTACATACTATATCAGAAGTTAGAATAGTGGTTCATTCTGAGGTGGTTAAATACTGGAAAAGTATATACTGGAAACTTATGAATTCTTTATCTTTCAGTAAATGAAGTTTACACCATTACTCTGTATTTGTATGTGTGTGTGTGTATTGATCCATATGTGTGCATCTAAAATCAAGGTGAAAACATAAGATCAGAGTACTTTATGCTCCTTTATGTATTTTATTCTTCAATGAAAATACAATAGTACGTGTCCTGTGAATTGTAAATTATGTAGAAATACAATAAATGACAACAACAGCACAAAAGATGAAAGACATGAACTTAAGTATATAATTATAAAATTGAGTACAAAAGAACTAAGCAACAATTAAATAATATTTAGCATTTTTGAATGTTTAAAATATTTAATTGAAATTCCAGAAGAAAAGATAAAAATAGATAAAAGTTATATATAAACACATACCACATAAAATTGACTTGCAGCCAAAAAATTCTCATCATCATTACAAAGTTGAAGATTAGGGCTTTATTATAGTAGTTTAGCAGGGAAATGTTAAATGGTATTCTCACAGACAAAGAATACAGAATTAAAACAAGAAGACAAGAGTTTTGCTTCAAAAGGATCATTGAAGTGGAAAAGTTTTATAAAGTGGTAATTTTAGCTAGGCTTCCATTATACCTACATGTATTAAAATAATTTTGCATATCCAATCTGGTTTAAATGAATTGTTTTCATTGGGCTAACTTTTGAAATATTAATTTTTCATAAATTAAATATGCTTATTAGGATATGACAAAATTACCCTTAGCTAATTTCAAATATCTCTCTTGAATGAATATTAAGTTTATTGTAAATTACTTTGAGATAATTACACTTTTGACATATAAAGTCAGGCTACATCCTTGGCTGTAAGTTAGGGTCTACCTTGAAGAAGGGGATTTTTCTTCCTGTCAGTCAACTATGGAAACGACAAGTATTCAGACAGCAATTGAAGCATACAAGTCAGGTTTTACACTGATGGTAAAGGGAACCCATTTTTCATTTGTGACTTTTTGTTTCTGGTATCTAGATTTTGAGGATATGACCAGCTCAAAGCACAAGAGGAAAACGCATAAAATTAAATTATCTTAAAGTTCTTGCATATTTCAGAAAGTGGTAAAAATACTAATTTGAGGTAACATTTGATTCATCCAACCCTGGAGAATTCCTCTCTGCTCCTCCCACCCTTGCCGCCTGACTATTCCTCCCCAGCATTATGCTCAGGCCACAGGACTGATGCTCAGCAATGCTTTCTACTTCCCACCTGATGTTAATCTCAGCTTGATCATGCTTCCTCTTGTCTCCTGATACTGGACTCTAAACCCCAAATACATTGGTGTTTCATCTCCTCTCCAAAAATTTTTCTCTTGGACTTTTCTGTTGGCTTTTTGGATTCCAGCTTTTTCACAGGGTTCTTTGACTTAGAGTTCTAACTCTGGCATCACTGGTTGTCTCAGTTCAGGACTCCCAATTTCTGCGTAACAAGCCCTTATGAACTTGATAAAACTCCAATCTTTGGAATCAAAAATAGGTTATTGATATCAGGAAGTGGCTGTTTAATGACTTAATAAGGAGCCATGCAACCACAAGAAGGTGAGAATTTGTTTTTGGTAATTTGTCTTTTCCACTTCAGTGGAAGCCTCTTCAGGGCAGCACCGTCATCTGTTTTTTGCTGTTGTTATCTTCAGTTAGTAGAACAGGGCCTGGCTCACGGTAAGCACTCAAAATCTTATTTGATGTAAAAGTTCAAGAACGATTATTTCTACTTTATACTGACTATCCACAGAGAAGCTGGCTTGAGTTCTCAAAGCAGAGTTTGGACTAGTAACCACATTTCCCAGGTCACCTATGGAGCAGCCTCTATATCCTTCCGGGAATGTCCTTGTAGTTCTAGGGTCAGAATATGCGGTGGAGAAGAAAGCAAAGTCCCCATCATCGTGGAGCTTGCATAAACAATTGTAGAAAAATATGTAGACAATAAACTGTCAGGTAGTCACAGGTTTTGGGAAGAAAAACAACATGGGCAAGACAATAACAGAGCAAAGATTGTGTTTTTATAGGGTGGTTAGGGACGCAGTGGGCCAGGGCTCTCTGCATTTATTCCCAAACTGCCCAAAGCAGTACCTATAGCCCACGTCAAACAGTTAACAATTAAACTATTAGCTTTAATCGAATCTGAGCTATAAAGACTTCATTAAGAAATCTATCCTATCTTAAGGAATGTGCCAGTAGAACTGGGTTTTAGTTTTGACCTCATTCACACAGATCGAAGTGTACATGAATAAAAAATAAAAGTGAAGCCGGGTGTAGTGGTTCACACCTGCAGTCCCAGCACTTTGGGAGGCCCAGGCGGGTGGATCACAAGGTCAAGAGATCGAGACCATCCTGGCCAACATGGTGAAACCACTTCTCTACTAAAAATACAAAAATTAGCCAGGCATTTGGCATGCGCATGTAGTCCCAGCTACTCAGGAGGCTGAGGCGGAAGAATCGCTTGAATCTGGGAGGAGGATGTTGCAGTGAGCCGAGACTGTGCGGCTGCACTCCAGCCTGGCAAAAAAAGTTAAAAGTGGGAATTAATAAACTTCCCTAAAATTATTAATGTTTTAAAATATTTACATATCATTTTATATAGAATGAGTGATGAATAAAACTTAAATCTACAAAAATTATGTGCATGTAAGAACCACTATATTGTGAAAGGAAAACACGCAATGCTATAGTGGCTTTTCATACGCCATTCAGTTTAAATGACAAAGATGATTTTTTTAAAGCATCTTTTAGAAAATTAAGGGTAAGTAGTAAGTAAGTATTGATCATAAAGCTAAAAGAGACGTCAAGAGATCAAACGGCTAGTCCACTGTTGTAAAGGTCTGAAAGGCTTAGCAACACACTCAAGGTGACACATGGCTTATAAGTTGGTGAATCATTGAAGGAGGAAGGACGTAGAACCCACATCTCCTCCTTTTTACTGCGGTGTCTTAGAACACAGGTCATTCAATGCCAGCTGCATTAGTTGGCTGGAAATTTTAGTTTAATGATATAATGAACATTACTGCAAACGGCTAAGAAAGATGCATCCCTAAAGGTTTTTGTTTCATCTTGCTGTGTGGTAGTGTGTCTTTGTATTGTTTTGGCTTTGTCTGAATAATTATAAGAAATTCTGTTTCTTCCTCTCTCCAAGGGCATGATGTTCAGGTGGTGCCTGCTTTAGATTCACATCCTTCTTTCTCCTTGTATTGTTCAAATTCAATTCAATTCAAGTCTGCATCTTTTCATGCGTAAGCAGCCTTACTTATCAAAATAGCTCAGTGCTATACTGAAAAAATGCTAATGCACATTACTCATAGAGAATTAGTACTTTTATTGTTTTTAAATCAAACTGATCTTTTAAAAATAGGATTCTAATTTTTTAAAAGAAAAAGTAAAAAGTTTAGGAGTTAAAATGAAGTTAGACTACAATCTTAGATGTTATAACATTTCCATAGACATTTTATTGTGTTAACATGTGGAATTTTTTCTAACAGAAATAATTGTTTTTGTAGAATATACAAATGCAAAACATCTTCACTTAAAATATTAGACATAATTTTTGAAAATTTACAAAATCTCAGAAGTTGGCTAAGAGTACACTAAAAATATCCCTAAGTTTTGCTTTGACAGACCATTTGCATTTCATGTGGAACATTTCCTTTCCAGCTACTTTTACTGAAAACTCAGAGATCCATTTTCTGCCTCTGAAAAAGTCACTTGGCTCTGCATTGTGGCAGAGAAAGAAGAGGTTTCAGATGGAATGGCTGGCTGAACAGGCATCAGCTCCACCCCTCCACTGACCCCATCTCTGAGAGTCACGTGTCAGGGCTTTGAACTAATAAAGCACCATTGTCCACAGTTGGAAAATTGAGGATCTAGCCCTGTGAAGTAGCAGGGCATTAGAGCTTAAGGAATTGCTCTCACACACACCAGCACCCTGTTAAATTCCTCTATGACGAGATTCAGGAAGGGGCAGGGAAAAGCAGGTCAAGCAAATCTCTCCTGAGGAGCTACTGTCCTGTGAATTTTGTTACTCTCTTTGTTATTTGGCATAGTAATAAAAATTATTCGGTATCGTAGAAGGTAGCTAATAAATATCTTTAATTTGTTTAAGCAATTTTTCTAATATTTATAGAGTAATTTAACAAGCACAATCTTTAAGAGTGATCCCAAATAACTTTCTTATTTCTTCATTCTACTATTCTATATAGTTAGTGTTTCACACCCGATCACCACCAAACTGATAGCTGCAAGATTACGTCTCCTATCCTTTTAAGAGTGGAATGTTAGCTGTTGATAAGTTAGCCAACAGACCTTATCAATTTGACCTAAAAGTATCTGTAACTATACGACGGGAACTCCAGCTGACTGACGGCTGACTGACTGTGTGGTTTTAGAAGCAAGTGCTTCAATTATTTCTTTTGTTTTCAGAAGCTCATGCAAAATTTGATATTCACAGCTGTTAGGCATCAATTTGGTTGAGAAGCAATTTCACCACACACAAAAAAAGGTAACTGATTTCAGATTATTGCCAGATCATGCTTGGTAGTGCTGAAAAGGATTCAAGTGTAAGTGCTACAAAAGTAACCCTGGCCCAGGTGGGCTATAAGGTTTCAGTAAGCCAGGCCAGACTCCTGTCTGCTGATACAGCTTGATAGCATCTAGGAATTCCTACTAGCGGAGTTAGTATGGTAGCCACGGATTTGTCCCCCACCAGTGTGACTATCCTGAGGCAGAGAGCCGATAAAAGAATTACAAGATTGAAACTAATACATGTTTGCTGAGAGACTCAATCAAAATTCCTATTTACAATATAAATAAAGTCAAGACTGTGTATTACACTGATGTGGTTATTAGGCATTGTATGCCTGTTTCAAAATATCTAATGTACCCCATAAATATATACACCTACTATATACTCATAAAAATTAAAAATTAATTTACAAAAACAAAACATGAAAAAAATTTAAAAGAATATGCAT